AAAATATCTAGTTTCAAGATTATATTTCTTGATGATAAAGTGAATTGTCTTATCAAGAAAAAATATCTTGTTTTCAGAACTAAAATATCTGGTTTCAAGATTTTATTTCTTGATTATAAATTGAATTGTGTTATCAAGAAAAATTATCTTTCCTCTAAACGGAAATATCTAGTTTCAAGATTCTTGTTCTTAGACATATGGTAATTTAAACGCAACAAGAAAAATTTTCTTGCGATTCCAGACAAGAATATCTTGCTTTTCTTAAAATTATGCTACTTCACACGCACAAGCACATTACGTTTAAACAATTAAGCAAGAAAACTTACTGTCCCCAAGAATTTAAAGATCTTGTTTCCAGGCTTTTCTTCTTTCTATAAAGCTAATTCAAAAAAGGTTGTCTTTTGCAAACCTTAAACTCTAAAATCTTAATTGAGGGCGCAACACATAATAGGGGCACAATTTTTCCGTTTAGAAATTATATTACATGTGGCTCATTTTTAGAGACATGGTAGAGACATCTCCTTATACGAGAACATTTCATTAGCAAATAGCTGCAAAATTCAACTATTATATAAGCTTGAAAATTATGTTCCCATTATGCTATGCGCGCTTAGAGTTTAAGGTTTGCAAATGACAACCTTTATTGAACTAGCTGTATATGGTAATAATTAACTTAACGTCTCGAAAACGTTGGAGTTTACATCGCTACGCCTTCCAAAATACTCACAATCATCGTTCCTTTAACAATATAGCCTATTTGAAATAAAACTCACTATGTATATAAGTGATATAAAATCGACCCTATAAAGTTGCTCGATATCTTGGCCCTTAATTCTCTTTCAGTCAATTCTCCTTCGATAATGTTAAGGCTACCAACTTTGAGAGCCTTCGGATGCATATATATATATATATATATATATATATATATATATATATATATATATATATATATATATATATATATATATATATATATATATATATATATATATATATATATATATATATATATATATATATATATATATATATATATGGCCGTGTCAAGTGGCCGAAAATTTATTATTTGTATACTTTACTTTAGTCATCTTTAACAAATTCTTCGATACGTAGCCATCTCTTTGTCGTAATATATATATATATATATATATATATATATATATATATATATATATATATATATATATATATATATATATATATATATATATATATATATATGACATAGATATGTATATATATATATATATATATATTAAATATATATATATATATATTAAATATATATATATATATATATATATATATATATATATATATATATATATATATATATATATATATATATATATATATATATATATATATATATAGTATAGCAAAACTGTCAATAATCTGAATGATGATCAATGATCTGTCTCAAAAATGCAACGGATTCTCGCCAACAACATGCTCTTCAATGATCACTCACCGATGTAAAGTCCAGTGTTGACATTCACTGGTGAATAAATATTGTAGTCAAGCATTCTGCGATACAAGCAAAACGTCGTGGGTTCAAAATAGGAAAGTTTCTCCACTTTGTAAGCCATGAATCGAGATGAAAATTCCAGTGTTTTCAATGGAGTGTACTCAAAAATGACCTCTTCACCGACTGAGAAAATTTTTTCCAGCTGACCAAAAACGGGCATCTTGTTGGAAAAATCTGCATCGACAGCAACAACACAACCTCTGCTAGGTATGTAGGATGAACCATGAAGCGTAATCCATTTCGTCGTGTAAACATTAGTAAACACCTCAGGATGAAGTAGTAACCCAGCATCATCCATTCTGTGGAAGCTAGGTCGTTTCCTTCTAACTTCTTGGTTGGCCCATGTTTCTTTTCTGTTTGGAAAAGTGGATGATGATTGGGGTTGTCATTGCAAAGATTAGCACAATCATCAAGTTGATATCGTTCTGCTAAAGACAAGCAAATGTTCTTGAAGTTTTGCAGAGGAGCAATATCTTTGAAATACGCATGTCTGGCCTCGAATCGCATGCAGCTGTGTCGTACTAGTGGACCAAGATGCAATATTTGATCTGGAATATGAATCAGATAATGCATCTTGGGTATGATGTTTATCGTTGGAAATAACTCTTTGAAATTCGTGAGATGCAATTCTACAGCTTCTCGTAACTCGTCTACCCCTGGAGCACTGGCGACTGGGGAAAAGCAAATTTGCACTATTAAGATGATTTGCAGGAGAAGTTGATAGTAGAGGTCATCTACTGGAACATATTTCACCAAGATAAATGGTAAGTTTTTTAGGTATATTCTTGCTTGTTCTGCTGTCAGCTTCATTTTATAAGATCCCTGGTTAAATGCAGTTTCTCTCAGAGGTGGGGGTCTGTTCTTCTCATCATGGTATCCTAATCTAAACTGTTCAACTGTTTTAGTGTAATGACGCCCGCGTCAAAGAAATGTTGCAATATAAAACGAACTTCGTATTGCACAGTTCCTTCAAGCAGCACATGCATGATATCCTGGGGGAGTTGTGCAGTGATATCAAAATGACTAAGTTCACTTAAGATACTCCTGTCCACAATTCCATATGTTGTTTGGAGGTCCTTTTTCATGGCTTCTGTTGGTGCATCTTCAATATCTTGACAATGCTGTTCATATTGGGCCAAATTTCGCAAAGTGAACTGAGTGGCAGTGAATTTCTCTTGCATGTCTTCAAACCTACAAAGACAGTTTCGACACTTCTGATGCGCAAATCCAACGCCCACCTTGAAGTCACCCCATTGATGCTGTCCTTCTGTGTCACCGATACAACTGACCACAGCACCATACAACTTCACTGAACATCTATCTATGTCAAAAATGTGACCAGCAGCTAGTTTCTCCAAATCATTCACAATTGGTGTCAATATTTTACCATGACCATATTTAGCAACATCGCGTGCCTTAACAATGGCGACCAATCTGATTGCGCAAAGTTTTGACCGAAACCTTGGATCAATGTTACCCAATGAATAATAGTACAAATCGACCTTGTGTTTTCCCATGTGACTTCCCAGAGGGTTGCACAGCTCTACCTCATCATGGTATAGAACTACTTGAAGACCATCAGCATTTAGCTGGAATATAGGGTTACTCTTCCAGCATAAACCATCTCTTATATCGTACAATATCCCTTCTTTGGACTTTGTCAAATGGTTTCTTACTAAATCATAGGTTCTTGGATTTGAGAGAAGTTGCTCGATGCTTTCTAGGATAGGAATATAAACCATTGTGTCATCTGTTTCACACATCTGCCACTTGTTTCCTTTGTTCTTGAACCCAATATTTCTACCAAGGATATATTCAACCGGCTGAACATATTTCATGTTCTTTTGAATAAACGATGATTGTGCATTGGCAGTTTGAAGGTTTGAGAAGGGATCCTCAAATCCTTCAAATACTTCATCTATTGACTGTTGGGTCAACCCATCATTTGCAGCTATACATTCTGTTACCTTTTGTTTTAAATGACTCTTAACATTGTCAACCAATTGACTTGTCTCTTGGACAATGTTATTTACGGCAACCTAAAAATGCAGGGTAGTAAGGCAACCAGCTTCAACTGGATAATATGTCCGCTATTTACAGGAAAAACGGAAATACCTACACACTTCCGTTACTGTAGTTCGTTGTGTAATACTGTATTTCTGTACAAATGCATGTGTGGGGAAATTAACCAACAAGAAGCTGCTTATTCTTGAATTATGTTTGTTTGTTAGCATTATTTTGGATGGAATATGTGTTGGCTAATCAATAAATTCCATTACAGTTATTAGTTATATCTTAATGCACGATTTTTGAACAAACATTTTTTTAGCAGATACAGTAATACACAACAAACTACTGTACACAAGCGCAAGTGTGTACTGCAGGTATTTCCGTTTTAACTGTAATATACTGATATCATTTTAGTATATTTTCATTGATTCTGCATGGCCAAAGGTTGTGCAATTAATTTGGGCTATCACCTATTTATGCTGCAGAATATGATTCTTGCTAGTGCTACAGTTTAAAGTTACAAGAAAACGACAGTAATTTTCAAATATTACTGTAATTTACATCTTTATTTTTACTATAAAGGCTTGGGGAGAACCCGTGCGAGAAGAAATGTGAATAAAAATATCTAAATATGGAACAACTAACAAACTGTTGCAAATGCATTAAAAATTACCCTGCTCGCAAATTATAGTTCATAAATCAGGCACTGAGCTGCCCTATCCCCTGAAATTTAGGCAACTTGAAGCCCTCTATCCCAAGTTGCAATTTCCAGTCTCTTCTCTGGGGAGAGTATGGATATTTTCTAGAAAACACAATTTGGTATATAACTCATTTGCATTGGGCATACCTTTGAAATTTTGGATCGTGTTTGGATTTTGACCAAAAATTGAGCAGCACATCTTTTCAAATCAATTTTTGCATGACCACAAGCATCATCCTAAGATAAAATATTTGTTATCCATAAATTTTATTAATAACAGAAGTAACTTGATATATGCTTTCATTGAGTAATGACTGGAAATTATATTATTTGATAAGATTTTGTCTTCATTATTCATGCAACATAATTTATGCAAGAATACTGTAGATTAGTTCGCTCACCGCAAACATATTTAACACACTGATATAAAGCTTTTAATGTATAATAACTATGGTAATTAGAAAGTCAAGCCCTTACCCCAGGTCAAGAAAAACAAAAAAGCTGTGCGCAACAGAATGACTGCCTACTGGGTTAAGTATCATTATACTAAAGAAGTACTCACACACATAAAAGCATTGAATATATGTCCTCAGGCAAGAATTGAACCTGACAACATTTACTTGACAATTCTATCATGTGAGATGCCCAAAATCCTGATATTCACCATAAATATTACAATGACATATAATACACTTGCTGTTAGTAGATGGAAATATTAAGTGTAAATAGTAAAGAGCAGCTGCAAAAAGACAGCTGGAGAACTGGGAATAGACATTTTTAGTTGAGCAGGTTTTTCAATGCATATGTTTTGCATTTTCGTTCACTTATATTTCTTATGGCTTTATAATATATGGATGCATGCATCAAAGAAACTCGATTCAATTAGCCTTTCTCACGATGACGAATATCCGCCATTTTTTGGTACTTTTTTTCAAGCCTGTGAGCGTAAGACCACGTAAAGGCACTTGCGGCTAGCGAAAGGAATCCAGTCTGGCGCTTATTAGAATACTTTTTCATTTTATACACTATTATTCTAAATAACTTTTTCTTTAGAATTTTTTTTTGGGAAGGCAGTTGCATCTTGGGTCATGCTCACGCCATACACGTATCACGCTATAAAATTCCCACTTGACTACCTCTTTCGAATTAGTGGGCTTTTGTGTACAAAAGTGTATTTTTTTAAACGTTTTTTACTCTTTCGAACGTCAAAGAGGTTCATTTTACAGAAATTAATACTCAGCACAAGGCACCAACCGTAACTAACAGTAATATATGGAACAAATACGAGAGGAAGAACCAGAAGCGTACAGTGTCCTTGAAGGTATTAAAGCTAGTACAATGCTGCACATGTGCATGTATTTAAAATGATATAAATATGCATGCATTTTCTAACAAACCTTCTATAGGAGTCCTGATTCAGTACAGTTCAAAAGTTATCTTTAAATAATATATTTAATATTAATATTTAATAAATATTTAGCTGCAAATGTGGATGAAGATAGTATACTGCAGTTCTCAAAAGAAGATTTGAAAGATTTATTTGATGGAGTGGAAAACTTTATGCTAAGGAGAAGATTGTGGAAAATTTTACAGAACTTGGTAAGGAACTTTTTAAGAAACTTGTTACCTGATTGGTCATTAACCCATTAACCACCACTACTCTACCACTGACGAGTAAATACGTCTGGCGTTAGACAGAGTAAATAATAAAGTAGGGCGCATTGTGCGTCAATGGGTTAATGCATCAATCAATTCCAGCTGTTACCATCCACCCCCCCCCTGGCAATACCCCGGAATTTGTACTTTTTTCCTAAACATGTAGTAAATTCCCCACCCCTGGGCCTTTCAAAATGAACAATTCCCCACCCCGGGGCATATCAATAAACGCAAAATTAGTAACTGAAACCCTTGGCAGAACACACATATAACACGTTGAAATGCGTAAAAAATTATACAAAATGTTATTTTTAACGATAGTACAGAATTTAATATGTTCATTAAAATTCCACTATTTATATCGCTCCTATATATTGATATACTGTACATCAACTGACAAGTATTATCACCCAGATTCACCCTGACTTGAAAAAGAGTAGATTCTTGTACATGGAATTTTACAGTTTATATGTTTTAAAATCAATAATTGAATAACGCAATCTAACACTATAAAACCAATGGCAATGTTCATGTCACTTGAGACGATTCGCATAAACCATGAATTTCCATGTACTGAACATTGCAAACTCATTCTATAGCTGGGTTTCAGTCACGTGTTACACGAAATCACAAAATTCTAAATTAGGTTTACCTCTGCCATTTTTTGTTTGGTTCTTTGCTTTTTACCCGGGGGTAACCCCCGGGACAAAATTATTCAAACAATTCCCTACCCCCTGGATTAGTTTTTTTGCATTGCCCCGGGGGTTGCCCGGGGGGGGGGATGGTAACAGAAGGAATTGATTCACACATAAGTATTGGGGGAGGGGGGTCAGACCTGATCAGAAATTTCACAGTGACGATGATTGTGTAAGGTAAGTAGAGAGGGGTGAATATTTTTTATCTAAAACAACAGGAATAAACGTCACTCCAGTGTCTGATATTTGAGTCTGTGCACATGTGGGCACGTGCATGCGCAATTGCCCCTAATGGAAATCCAGCAGGGTGAAGAAAGCCAATGACACACATTATTTCAGGTGGAGGAGGGCTTAATAGAGAGTTTTGTGTAAAAGTGGTGCAATAGAGTAGTTTCCTTGTTACTGTTGAAACTAAAGTAGCATTATATTATTTAAATTTATGGCCATTTATATTTCATAGAGAGACAAAAGCGAGGAATCAAATGAACAGTTAACAACTACACCCCTTCAACTATACAAATCCCAGTCTTACAGGACACCAAATACCTCAAATCATCCATCTGGATCAGCAACACCAAAAAGCTCAAGATCATGTAGTCCTTCGCCCATCGAAGTTGCAGATGACACTGATGCTTATGTGAAAGCAGAGGATGCAGCAATCTTCTTAATTTACAGTGATAGTGAGCTAAAGAATGCTGCTAAAAGTGAGGCACTGTCTGATGAATTGAGAAATCGACTTGTCCGCAACACTGTATCGAATATGCGTGCAGCATGCCAAAATCTAGCAACTCCAAGAGAACCAACTAATAATGAGATGGAAGATATGGCAAAAGCCCTTGTTAAAAAATATCCATCTATTGTCCGGTTATATGACTACGGCGAAAAGGAGTATATGACCATTAGTGAAGACAAAAAGTGTGACTTGACCCAGGAACAAAAAAGTCAATTTCATGTAAGTTATGATCAGCCTAGCTCTTGATCTTTAACCCATTAACCACCAGTGCTCTACCATTGACGAGTAAAATCGTCTGGCGTTAGACAGAGTAAATACTAAAGTAGGGCGCATTGGGGCGCATTGCGCGTTAATGGGTTAACAAGAGATGTGGGCAGATAGGCTTGTTAACCCATTAACCACCAGTGCTCTACCACTGACGAGTAAAATCGTCTGGCGTTAGACAGAGTAAATACTAAAGTAGGGCGCATTGGGGAGCATTAATGGCATTAAAGTCTGGAATTTAAACAAGAACACCCAACTAGTCCAAGGCCTTCTTTCACTTCTGCAATACTTTGAAGGCAAGGCCTTACACCTGTTCTCAGGCTATTAACAATGGGGGGGAGGCCTAGCACAATTTGCAAATTTGCCCTGATTTGAACCATTTTTGCCCGTCTGGTTTACACGATATAATCGCTGTTTTTTGGATAATTTATGGCTTTGGGATGAAGAATGAAAATATTTTGACTCATAAAAGGAAATACATGCACTGAAAGTTCGAAAGTTTGCTTTCTGGAATTCATAATTTACATATTTCGAATTTCGCTAGGCCTTCTCCAGTGGGTAAACCCCTAAGTCTACGCAAGAAGGCCAGGGACTAAGCTGAAGAACACCCATTCAGCACCACATGCAAACTTATGGTTCTGTAATCTAGGAACCACATTGGCCATCATGTTTTTGGCAACAAAGACAAACATGCATATTACCAAAACCACAGTAAAACCCCTTTTAAAAATTAGTTGCCATATTACAGTATCCCTATTCAATGGTTTGTTGATTTTCTGTTCAGATGTTCATTCTCAATAAGCTTAAAAAGCGACTTGCCAACACAAGGCCTGCCAAAAGGCCACAAGGCAAAGTCCCTGCCAGATCCAACAAACGGAAGCTTGAATTACCAAAACGAAGTAAGTACCCTTACCAAACTGACATATATGTAAAATGTCTGCAAGTATCTGTCACATATCTGTAGCAGTACTGCAGCATAACTGCAACAAGGTCTACAATATCTGCAAAATATCTGCATAAAAGTTGCAGATATTTTGCAGATATGTTGATTATCTGTTAACATATCTGCAAAATATCTGCGTAAAAGTTGCAGATATTTGCAGATATGTCAATTGTCTGTCAAAATATCTGCAAAATATCTGCATAAAAATTGCAGATATATGTAGATATGTCAATTGTCTGTCAATATAGTTATACAGTATCTGTAACTACACAGCAAAAAAAATTTCTTATTGAGAAAACAATTCTTACTTCAAGAAAATATTTGTTGAAATGAAAAACTAATTTTCTTAATTAGAAAACGGATTTTCAAAATGAGAAGTACTCGATTTGCAAGACATAAGGAAAATTCTCTTAACATATCTTAAATTACATTTGTTTTCTTGAAATATGAATGTTTTCTTACGATTTTGTCATCTTCATATCAAATCATTTTCTTAATAAAGGACATTGGCAACCAACATTTTTATTGCTTCATCTGAAAGAGCATGAAAAATAAGCCGGTTGGCCGTTTAATGCTCTATTCTATCTCATCTAGTTCCGAAGTTATACGCAAAAATGTGCAAAATATAAATTGCTGATTCAGCACAACATGTGATGTCATTAGTTGGGTAAGTATGTATATTAATTGTAAACAAAAGCATAGCTAAGTTATTATTGGCTCAAATCAAGTGCAATTTTGCATACAGATAGTACATGATGAGATGCATGGGAAAATAATTCTAATTTTGTTGTCAAGGCAACACAGTCGTTCCCAGGCCCCTTACACTGATTTTGAATAACTAGTTGCATTTATCTATGTGTATGTCATTTTCGATTTATTATCATGCAAGTAAACTTTTGGCATGCAATAGGTATGGTACACATACTTCTGATATTATTTTAACCTTATCAGTACCATGAATAAAGCTGTTTTATAAAATTGGCGCAAGGCGCCTGGGAACGACATGTTATCTTCGCAACAAAATTAGAAGCGTTTTTCAATGCGACTCATCATGTACAATCAGTATGCAAAATTTCATTTAATTTGGGCCCATAATAACAGAGCTATGCTTCAGTTTACTATTCAATAAACATACTTACCCAACTAATGACGTCACACGTTGTGCTGAATCAGCAATTTATATTTTTGCACATTTTTGCGTATAACTTCGGAACTACAGGGTGTATCAAAAAAAGCGCAATCCTCGACTGAAATGTAAATTGCTAAACAAATAATAGACGAAAACGTTAAAGTTTAAATTCATTTTAAAGCGTAGCCATTCAGCTTTCTGACAGTGGGTTGTTTCTTAAATTTGACTCATTGGTTCGCGGGTAATAATACTTTACGTTATTGCAATTGGAGATTAAAAAAATTGAGATGGAATAACAAATTGTTCTCATGAAAATAACTGATTTTTTCATTAAAACAAAAAATGTTGCATTTAAATGGATTGTAACAATAAGTATAATTTAATACGGCTTTTCTTCCACTATTTGTAACTCAGTTTGAAACTTCGAATGCGATATAATTTTGGCTTGGACCATCTAAGCTGACTGACATCAACTTGCTATAATTTCTGTTTACATTACATCGCAATTCGATGACACTCTGGCTCAGACACCAGAATGTTTTGACGATCTTTAGCATTCGTTTAGGATTTTCAAACAACCTGGTCTCTTTTAAATACTTTTAATTTATTCTTACGTGGTTTTCCAGATGTAGTGGCGACAACATTAAAGTTTAAAGAAGAAAATTCTAACATTTAAACCGACTAAACAATAACATAGTAAACTTGCATAATTAAACAGCAACTAAAAATGATAGGTTTTACTAAATCTTTTCCTGTGCAATTATTACTAGCATTGGAGACAAGGATAATAGTTTGTTTGAAAGAGAAAAGAACAGGCTTTGAAGTAAGCCTAAAAGCGTTTAACTAGAGATAGTATTTCGAAAGTTATTAAGCACAAAAGATGAATTGCGTTTATTTTGATACACCCTGTAGATGAGATAGAATAGAGCATTAAACGGCCAACCGGCTTATTTTTTCATGCTCTTTCAGATGAAGCAATAAAAATTTTGGTTGCCAATGTCCTTTAAGAAAATTTTTAAAACAAGAAATCAAATTCTCAACATAAGAAATAATGGTTAATAATAAATTATTTTTACTTAAATTTTCTCGAAGAACAAAAATTAATTTGTTAAAATTTAAATATAGCATCTTTTGCAATTTTTGCATATTTTTTCCAAAATGATATCTTTTCCTCAATACTGGTATTCTTTTAACATGATGTCAAATGTCATCCTGGATTTAGTTTCCATATGGGTTAGTATATTCACATTACTGTAATTGGCTTTTTTCAAAAGAGATCACAGTGCATATTCTGGGGTCGTTTGGAGGGACAAAATATATGGAGACAGGCATCAAATATGTGATATCAAATATCAACTTTTTACATGACCAAAAATGAAATATCTTCTTTTTACATTAAACTTTAATTTAAACGTGTGCTGCTATATGTCTTGTCCCTCCAACAAGGGATTTTTGCAACTAGACTCAGGACTTTGGGAAATAGCTAAATAAATATACAAATTCTCTTCTATCATATTTATCTTTGTTAATTAATTTGTTATTAAAGTAAGTTTGGGACAAAAATATTGTGTTTTATTTATATTAAAATGCTACATTTGCCCCCTTTAGGAAAGGAGACCTTGCCCCACCCCTTTCCATCGTCCCTGGTACCATATAACTACATTCTAATTTAATTTCTAAAGTTGAGTTCTTTCCATGTTTTATTGAATCATTGTAGAGAATTTTCATTTTCCAAGAATTTATTATAAATAAATTAACAGTCAATAACTGATTGAAAACATTTGTGAATATTCCTTATATTCGTAGAGCTAGAAACTATATTACATGCCTTACATGACAACTGAAGCAATAGTTCGCGCATTGCCTGGAGCCTGGTGCCTAGTTTAAGTGTGGGAGCACAAAGTGTCGTGGGATAGTGTCGTTTCGAATTTTTGTGCTAAAAATTTGAAAGCACATTTACATGTCTTACATGGTGAAAAAATTTATCGAAATTTCAAACCCAAACGATGGAAAAGGCATGGAAAAGCTCGTAAAATGTTATTCAGATCTCACAGGTAAGAATAGTTTTATTTTGACTTGTTATTCAAGCACTTTAAATTGCGAAAGAATGTAGTGAAAATATGGTTGTTACTTGAGCCATGTGTCTGAAATTCTGTTGAATATAATTTTGAATTTGCCGCGTTCAATTTGCATAAGAAACATACGAAATGTTGGTTTCTGGCAAGGAAAGAAAGAATAAAATATCAATTCGAATCTATTATAGTAAATTCTGTACTAAATTGTGCACTAATGCACTATTAATATCAACAATTTAGCAATAATTGTCTTTGGCATTAATGGCATATACAGTAATAATTTGGCACTTTTCTAGACCTTTGTCAAGGGTGTATATTAAACTTAATAATAAAACTATATGAAATAATATATTAAACATACTTGTGCTTTTAACAATACGAAATAATATATTAAACATTTGAATGCTGTTAAAGATATGTTAGCATTTTAATACATGAATAAGGATTGTAATTACAGATTACAGCATTGAATGTGATATATCAGTGTATTTATCCTTAATCCATTAAGCTGCAACTGTGTTGCTTTACTTTTCCTAATGCCAGACAATTTTACTCGTCAAAAGGAGAGTCTTGCAAGCTCTTTATTAACAAGCTTCAGTTGTATAAAAGGATATGTTTGTAAAAGCTGGAAGATGTACGAGCACTGAGACAATGCCTCAAATGTTCTCTTTATATATTTTCAGATTAATATTGGAACTGGGTTATAGCCTAGCTCCAAATATTGTTCTCAAGTCACAACAATCAGATCTGGATTGAGTTGACAAACTTGTGTTGTAAGGTAAGAATTAACAAGAATAAATAGTCTGCT